GTAAGCGCGGGACCCGCACCACGGCCGGGGGATTTGGGGGGGCACAGCCTGGCCAAAAGGGGCCAGGAACTGGTCAAAGGGAAGGAGGGTGTAAAGCAGGAGGATTCTGGGCAGCTGCATTTACTCCCCCACATGCACCGTTTGGTTTTGCCCACCACTCAGGTGGACACTGGGACGGAGCTGCCCAGTGGGGGAGTTAGTGCAGGTCTCTTGGCCATCAGCCCGGGGCGGGGGGAGGGGGCAGGGCAGTCCTCACCGGGGAGCGAACCCTTAATTCCCTCCATAGGTGGCTTGTGGCAGCTCTCAGGGATGGGTACTGCCCCCTCATGGCCCTGCCAAAACTGTCCCATCAACAGGGCGCTGTCACATCCCCCAGGGTGGCCTTCCCCTCCCCGCCATGGCATCAGTCACCTCTGGGTCCCTTCCCCACTGCACCTCCCCCGCCCTCAGGCACCCATGAATGAAGTCCTAGGCTAGGACAGGCTCTGACCATGAGTCACTGCCAGCACAGCCCCGCTCCCTGGGGTACAGAGACAGGGAGCTGCAGGGCCCAGGCCCTCAGCTGTGGGGGCAGCAGGATGCCAGTCAGGGGCACTCACATCCTGCCTCTGCTCCTCCGGGAGGAGGCTTTTACCTTCCAGGTCCTGGGCATGCTGCCACTGGGCTCCCAGGGGGAGCTCCCTCCAGAAGCAGGATGGCCGGGGAACTCGGTGAGGGGGAGGGCACCTCTCCCACCATGCCCTGGCTCAGGTGTTCAGTCTTTAACAGGGCTGAATACCCTGAGGGCTGGGCTTTCCCGAAATTCCAGTGAGAACCCCCAAAAACAACAGATCCCAAGCCAGGCTGCAACTGATTGCCCCCCAGTTCCCTGGAAAAGACGCTGCCTGTGACAAGTCCCCCGTTCCCACACACACAACCTCCTGGGAGGACATCAGCCCTGGACGCCCTGTGCCACCTGTGCCCAGGTGCAGCTGCCAGAGCTGAGTTGTCAGAGTTCAAGGCCAGCAGGGACCACTGTGGTCCTTAACCCAGGCCTGAGAAACCGCCTCCCCCTTCCCCCTGCAGTAAGCCCTGGTGGGCGCTTAGCCTAGAGACTGAAGAGACTCCAGGCAAACAGAGGATCCACCGTGCTCCTCTCGAACCAGGGCCACTCGCTAGTTATCTTCACTCAGGAAAACTTGCATCTTACTTCCAACCTCAATTTGCCTGGGCCCCAGGCCTTACTGCCGGTGTGTAGCACAGGCCCTGCGAGATCACCCCGCTGGGGGAACCTGCTACTGCACAGAGGCCAGGTGGAATGGTCACATTATTGCAATGGGAGGGGAACAGTGGGCACTGCTGAAACTCCCACCACAAGGCACCTACCTTGGGCATTAGAGAGACCTGGGACAGGCGTGCAGACTGATCAGCTCATCTTGTAAGTGACCGTAGGCCAGGACGGTCGAGTGTCCCCCCTCCGGCTGGTTTCCCAATCTCCAAATCATTCCCGCAGCTCTTCCCCGAGCCCCATGTGAGCTGGCACCAGCGTGAACCCCCGCCCTGGTCACCATTCGCAGTGACTAGTGCCGTATGCAGAGCTGCTCCCACCGGCCTGCCTCTGTCTAGAGCGGTGTATGGGAGCTCCCAGTGCAGCTGGCTCCTTACATCCTTCCCAGCCTCCTGTGCCACACGGCCTCCCCTTGGCTCTGCACAACCTTGGACACGTATCGTCCCCTTGCCTGACAGCCAGTGGGTGCCGCGGACAGAGCGGGCAGGGTCACCATTGCAGGGCAGCTGCCCACTGGACCAGTGCTGATTGTGTATTTCCGGGAGGAGGCTTTTACCTTCCAGGTCCTGGGCATGCTGCCACTGGGCTCCCAGGGGGAGCTCCCTCCAGAAGCAGGATGGCCGGGGAACTCGGTGAGGGGGAGGGCACCTCTCCCACCATGCCCTGGCTCAGGTGTTCAGTCTTTAACAGGGCTGAATACCCTGAGGGCTGGGCTTTCCCGAAATTCCAGTGAGAACCCCCAAAAACAACAGATCCCAAGCCAGGCTGCAACTGATTGCCCCCCAGTTCCCTGGAAAAGACGCTGCCTGTGACAAGTCCCCCGTTCCCACACACACAACCTCCTGGGAGGACATCAGCCCTGGACGCCCTGTGCCACCTGTGCCCAGGTGCAGCTGCCAGAGCTGAGTTGTCAGAGTTCAAGGCCAGCAGGGACCACTGTGGTCCTTAACCCAGGCCTGAGAAACCGCCTCCCCCTTCCCCCTGCAGTAAGCCCTGGTGGGCGCTTAGCCTAGAGACTGAAGAGACTCCAGGCAAACAGAGGATCCACCGTGCTCCTCTCGAACCAGGGCCACTCGCTAGTTATCTTCACTCAGGAAAACTTGCATCTTACTTCCAACCTCAATTTGCCTGGGCCCCAGGCCTTACTGCCGGTGTGTAGCACAGGCCCTGCGAGATCACCCCGCTGGGGGAACCTGCTACTGCACAGAGGCCAGGTGGAATGGTCACATTATTGCAATGGGAGGGGAACAGTGGGCACTGCTGAAACTCCCACCACAAGGCACCTACCTTGGGCATTAGAGAGACCTGGGACAGGCGTGCAGACTGATCAGCTCATCTTGTAAGTGACCGTAGGCCAGGACGGTCGAGTGTCCCCCCTCCGGCTGGTTTCCCAATCTCCAAATCATTCCCGCAGCTCTTCCCCGAGCCCCATGTGAGCTGGCACCAGCGTGAACCCCCGCCCTGGTCACCATTCGCAGTGACTAGTGCCGTATGCAGAGCTGCTCCCACCGGCCTGCCTCTGTCTAGAGCGGTGTATGGGAGCTCCCAGTGCAGCTGGCTCCTTACATCCTTCCCAGCCTCCTGTGCCACACGGCCTCCCCTTGGCTCTGCACAACCTTGGACACGTATCGTCCCCTTGCCTGACAGCCAGTGGGTGCCGCGGACAGAGCGGGCAGGGTCACCATTGCAGGGCAGCTGCCCACTGGACCAGTGCTGATTGTGTATTTGATTTTCCTACAGACCGTTGCTCGAGAGTGCACATAGCATTGGGCTGAGCCCAGAGCCCGGCAGGACCACGCCAGAGAACCCCAGGCGCGGCTGCATCCTCACCTGCCAAAGAGGCCCCTGAGGACCCAGCCCCCCACCCACAGTTATGGGCCCGTGCAGCATTGCTGGTTGAACCAGGGTAGCAGGATGGACTAAGGCCAAGCCCCTTACCTCAGCTGTGACTTTCAACCATGTCCTCTCCGAGCGGCGCTAGGGTGGGGGCTGCGGGCAAGGGGCCGGGGGCCGGGCTGTGCAGCAGCTGGGGCGGCCGCTAATGCGCTGGCTGTTACATGCAGGGAGGGGCTGGAGGAAAAGCCGTGGCGGGGGTCCATGGGTGTTCCCTGAAGGCACCCCACTAGCCCTTGCTCCAGGGGCTGTAGGCCCTGGACGAGGGGATGCAGGGTGGGTCTGGGGCCAGAGGGCTGTGCTGGGGGAGTCAGGATGAGGTGTGGGAGGGACGGCCCTAGCTGAGCCAGGCCAGAGGCTGAGCTCAGCCCCGGGGAGCAGAGCTGCTCTCCCCCTGCAGCGGCAGGAAGC